AGAGCCGGGAGGAGGGTGCACGCTCGGCGCCCTGCCGGGGTCCAGCCCCCGGCCCCCAGCCCCGCCCCCTCCTCATCCCGCGTCGCCCCCTCCGCCCCTGCAGGCCCGTGACACGGTCACGTCCGAACTGGCCGCCGTGAAGATAGTCAAGCTAGACCCAGGTGAGGGCCCGGGCCGGGGCCTCTGCGTAGGAGGGAGGGCAGCGCGCTGGCGGGCGCGGCGTGAGGGGCCGAGACTTGACATTTCTGAGACCCCCCGAGAGGCAGGCCCCAGGAGCTACCGTCGCCTGGCACCTCTCTCTGGCCCGGAGGGAGGCACTCTGTGCCCATTTTGCAGATGGGAGCACTGAGTCAGCGCGACCCCTATGCGCACCCCCACATGATGCGTTGTGCTCCCCAGGGGACGACATCAGCTCTCTCCAGCAGGAAATCACCATTCTGCGTGAGTGCCGCCATCCCAATGTGGTGGCCTACATTGGCAGCTACCTCAGGTGAGGCTGCTTTATTCTCCAGCCCCCAGACAGCCCCCATGTGACCTGCTGTGTCCCCACTCAGCTCTGTGTCCCCCCAGGAATGACCGCTTGTGGATCTGCATGGAGTTCTGTGGAGGGGGGTCCCTGCAGGAAATTTACCACGGTGAGGGCCAGAGCCTCAGGCCCCAGAGGATTACGACCTTTCCCCCCATCCCCACCCCAACACGGGGGTGGGGGGCAGTAGGGGAGAGTCCAAGCCCCGGACTTGGGCCCTCCTCCCAACTGGCTGTGTGACCTTGAGAGAAATGCTGCCCTTCTCTGGGCTCAGTATCCCAGACTACACTAGCAAGGGATGCGGCCAACACAAGGTGGCCTGGGAAGGTCAGCATATCCCCCAGCCCCCGTGCCAGCCCTCACCCTTTCTATTTCAGCCACAGGACCCCTGGAGGAACGGCAGATTGCCTATGTCTGCCGAGAGGCACTGAAGGTAGCTGGGCCCCTGAGGCTCTCACATCCTCCAATCCCCAGGAGCTGTGGGCTGAGAGCCCAGCTGACAAGTGTGGGGGCGGGGAGGTGCATGGAGTGCCTCAGGTAGAGCTGGCCAGAGGGGCTGTGGGGTCTGGGGAAAGGGGCCCCAGCCCCGTTGCAGGAAGCAGCCCATTTCCCTCTTGGCTCAGTCACTTCCTGTTAGGGGAGAGGGGAGGAGGAAGTGGCTTGGGTGGGGGGCCCCAGTCCTGAGAGGGGGTTCAGGAGAGATGGGGTAGTGCTGCATAGCTGTTCCCAGGGACTTCTCTTTGTCCCCAGGGGCTCCACCACTTGCATTCTCAGGGGAAGATCCACAGAGACATTAAGGTAGGGGTCTGGCCAGGGGCATCGAGGGAGGGTGGAGGAGCCTCTTCGGGGCACCAGATGGGATTCTCTCTCCTCCATTCCCACAGGGAGCCAACCTTCTCCTCACTCTCCAGGGAGATGTCAAGTTGGGTCAGTACCCGGGGATGCATTCAGGGTGAGGGTTCTGTGGGTGCTCTGGAAGTCTTAGCAAGAATCTGGACTCAAGTGCTGGGTGTCCTCGGGCAAGTCACTTTACCACTTGAGTCAGTTTTCCCATTGAGAAAATGGCACTGTGCTCCTTTCCTGCTAGCGGCTGGATGAGGTTGGGTCTATATGGAGTCTGACGTGGGATCAGGCATTCGGTCAGGGATAGAGGGTGGTGGACCCCTCTCAGGAGAGGGACCTGGCCTTGCTTTGGGCCTGTGGCAGCTGTGGGTGAACCTGGGCTGTCTGCCCATCTGAGCCCTGCCAGGTGCATCCTGAACCCTTGGGTGGGGTGGTGAGTGGCAGCCAGAGGGCTGATGAGAGTAGCTGTTTTTCCCTGCAGCTGACTTTGGGGTGTCAGGCGAGCTGACGGCGTCTGTGGCCAAGCGGAGGTCTTTCATTGGGTCTCCGTACTGGTGAGGCTACACCTTGGGCAGAGGGAGCAGGGGCCTCAGGTGCGGCACCCGCCTATCCCATCTCTGACTCCACCTCTAGGATGGCTCCGGAGGTGGCTGCTGTGGAGCGCAAAGGTGGCTACAACGAGCTGTGTGACGTCTGGGCCCTGGGCATCACCGCCATTGAGCTGGGCGAACTGCAGCCCCCTCTATTCCACCTGCACCCCATGAGGTCAGCCCCACACTTGCCCCTTGCCTGACCCTTGCCCTGCTGACCTTCGACTCCTGACTTTGTACCCTCCACAGGGCCCTGATGCTCATGTCAAAGAGCAGCTTCCAGCCACCCAAGCTGAGAGACAAGACTTGCTGGTGAGGGCGCACATCCCCCTGCTGGGACCTCCTTTTCAGCCAGGCCCCATGCCAGAGGAGCCTTCTGCCGACTCCCAGGGTGCAGCCTCGACAGCTCTGCCCTCTCCGGGCCTTTACATGGTCATCTGAGGGAGGGGCCTGGTGCCCACCTCTGGGCCAAGGACCCGGTGTGGACGGAGAAGAAGGGCAGACGGTTGGTGACGGGGGAGCTGCAATGTTGCAACAGCGCAAGTATTGCTCAGGCCAGCTGCCCTTGGCCTCAGGCTGGCTCCTTCCTGGGTGGGCCCAGCAGACTCCTCTGGAGTGTGGCAGGTGGCAGCTGGCAGGATTCTCTGTGTGAGGGCTAACCTGGGTCTGGGCATGGGGGGCTTTTGTGCCCACTAGGACCCAGAACTTCCACCATTTCCTCAAGTTGGCCCTCACCAAGAACCCCAAGAAGAGGCCAACAGCAGAGAAGCTTCTGCAGGTGGGAGGCAGGGGCAGGGCAGCGGGGGCAGTGCTCCAAAACGGGCCTGGAGGACAGGGACCAACCCGACCGCCCCCTCAATCCTCCAGCACCCATTCACAACCCAGCCACTCCCTCGGGCCCTCCTCACGCAGCTCTTGGACAAAGCCAATGACCCCCACCTGGGAACCCCCTCCCCTGAAGACTGTGAGCTGGAGGTAAGTGAGGGGGGCTGGGAAACGGGTCTTGGCCTGGCCTGATTGGAAGGAGTTCAAAGGTGGTAGGTTAAGGTCCCTCTCACGTAATTCCAGCACCCTTCAGTTGAGCTGCCCCCCAGTTGAGCCCACCCAGTAGGAATCTTTCCTGAGCTGGGTCTCACCTCCCTAACACTCCCTTGATAGGTTCCCCAGCCCTTGCGCCAGGCTGACCATGACCATGACTAAGCCATCATCTTGTTTTCTGTGTGACCTTTGGCAAGTTACTTGACCTCTCTGTGCTGGTTTTCTCATCTGTGAGATGAGGGTGCCATTTCATCTCCCAATAATCTCTGAGGGTTGTTGTGAAAACAAAACATGGTGGTATGTGTAGAGCACCTGGAACGGTACCGGGTGTGAGGTGAGTGCCAGGTACACGCCCACCGTCTCTGTTCTTTCTTAGACTTATGACATGTTTCCAGACACCATTCATTCCCGGGGTCAGCACGGCCCAGCCGAGAGGACCCCCTCAGAGATCCAGTGTGAGTCTGCAGGAGGGGCTGTGTGTGCACAGATTTAGCGTGAGTGTGGGGGTCGATCCTGAGACTCTGGTTCCCTAACCGCTGTACTCCGGGCCCGCCAGTTCACCAGGTGAAGTTTGGTGCCCCACGCAGGAAGGAAACGGACCCGCTAAATGAGCCGGTGAGGCTGTGTGGGGAGGGCGGGGGCGGGGCCGGGTCGCTGGCCCTGATGGAGGCTGAGATCTCAAAGCAAGGGAGCTTTGGAGCAGGGGCTGCCTGGGCCTTGGGCCTCAGGACCTGAAGGGCTAGGGGCTCCTTCCTGGGCCACGGGAAGGTGGCAGGATGACCACACCTTTCTAAAAACTGGGCCTGTCACATGCCTGAGCTCCCATCCCACCCCACCCCCACCCAGTTCAGCCACATTTCTCTGCCTCAGTTCACCTGTCACCGACTCTCTGATTCGCTGTTTCTGCGCTTGCTGTGTGTCTGTCACCATATCTCTTTTTGCTCCGAGTCTCAGCCTCTCCCTGTGCCTGGCTTTCTTGCTGTCTGTCTGTTCCTCTCTCTCATGATCTCTTGGCTTCCTTGCCTCTCACTGTCTTTCTCTGTTTCTCACAAGTGTCTTGCCTATTACTGTCCCACTTTCTGTCTGTGTGTCTGTCTTCTCTCTCCTGCAACCTTATGATTGTCTGCTCATGTTGCCCCTCTCTCTCTCTGCTTCTCCCCCGGTCTCTCTGCCTCGGTTTCTCCCAGTGGGAGGAAGAGTGGACAGTGCTGGGAAAGGAGGAGCTGAGTGGGTAAGTGAGGGCGAGGGAAGCTACAGGGAGGGGTAGGGGCAGCAGAGAGGCTGACCTCTGACCCCTTTCCCTCCCTGCCCAGGAGCCTGCTGCAGTCGGTCCAGGAGGCCCTGGAGGAACGGTGAGGGTTGGGCCTGGGGAGGGGCAGGGCTGGCCAGGCCTGAGAGCCAGTCCTATCTTATACTGCTTTTCCTTCTGGTTTGTCCTGCACAGGAGCCTGACCATCCGGCCAGCTTCGGAACTCCAGGTGCGAAGCAGAGGGAAGCTGGAGCTAGGGCAGGGAGACTAGAGCTGAGATGGGGAGACTGCTGCAGAGGGTGCAGTTGGGGTGGGTACAGAGTGACCTGCTCACAGCTGGGCTGGGCCCCCAACCCTCCTGCCAGGAGCTGGACTTCCCAGATGATGCCATGGGAACCGTCAAGCGGGCCCCCTTCGGGCTGCCCCCCTCTGAGCCTCCTGCTGAGGACCCTCGATTCAGCCCCCCAGGTGAGTTCTGGGCTTTGGAGGCCAGGACACAGGCCCAGGGTGAGGCTGGGGCTGGAAATCACAGCGGGTCTGTGCCTGCAGGAACTCTGCCCCCACATCTCCCAGGCCCTGACAGCCCCCCACTTCTGCCCACCACCTGGGCCACCATGAAGCAGCGGGAGGATCCTGAGGTAAGGGTTGCGACAGAGGGAGTGGGCAGAAGGGTGGCTGTGGATATCACCTCGAACCTGACTCCTTTCCCTCCCAGAGATCGTGCTGTCACGGGCTCCCCCCAACCCCCAAGGTGCACGTAAGTGTTTGCCCCACAGCTCCACGGCCCGACCACCCGCTGCTCCTGCACTCCGTCCCCAGACTCTTGTCTCCTCCACAGATGGGCGCCTGCTTCTCCAAGGTCTTCAACGGCTGCCCCCTGCGGATCCATGCTGCTGTCACCTGGATTCACCCTATTACTCGAGGTAGGCTAGGGGCAGGGAGGAAGCAGGAGCCTGGAAATCCCCCTGCTTGGGCCAAGGGGTGTCACTGGCCTCTGACCCCATACCCAAACCTGCAGACCAGTTCCTGTTGGTGGGGGCCGAGGAAGGCATCTACACACTCAACCTGCATGAGCTGCATGAGGACACACTGGAGAAGGTGAGGCCCAGCTGCTGTGTAGAGTAGAGGGCCAGGGCCTGGGCTCCTGGGCCCCTGTCCATCTGCCTCTCTCGCCTCCAGCTGATTTCACACCGCTGCTCCTGGCTCTACTGCGTGAACAATGTGCTGCTGTCACTCTCAGGTACAGGTGGGCAGGCAGGGAGGTTGGGCCTGCAACACCCCCAGCCCCTGCAACACTGTGCTCAGCAGTGCTCTGAGCCTCCATCTCTCTCCCCTTGGCAGGGAAATCCACGCACATCTGGGCCCATGACCTCCCAGGCCTGTTTGAGCAGCGGAGACTGCAGCAACAGGTTCCTCTCTCCATCCCCACCAACCGCCTCACCCAGCGCATCATCCCCAGGTCAGGGACCCTACGTGTGCAGGGAGGGGGACCAGAGGGGCAGAGCAGGGTTAGAATGTGCCTTGGCCAGTACTGGGACTGTTGTGATCTTAGACATGTCACTTTACCTCTTTGAGTCCCAGTTTCCTTCTTAGTCAACAGCCTCCTCTTCCTCTTCCCTCCAGGTTTGTTGGGAAGCAAGGACATTGTGGATGAGCTTTGCAAATTGTGGGAACTGTGGTTGTTAGAATGTGGGCCTTAGTTTGATGTTAAGCAAACATTTACTGAGCACTTATGCTGGGCCCTATGCTGGGCTTGGGGACATAATGAGCCAAATAGTCCTTGCTCTCAGGAGAAGAGGGAGATGCCAACCCATGAACAGTCAGTAGCACCTGGTGCTGGACTGAACTAGAAGGAGAGCAGGGAGAGGCTGGGGGGCTTCAGAGGGTCCAGGCGAGCCCATGAAGTGTGAAGGAGTGTCAAGGGTTCGGGCAGGGGCAGAGTGAAGGCATGTGGGGGTGGGGCAAAGCAGCCTGGTGGTCTGGAGAGCTCTGTGTGTGTGGCCTGAGGGGGGAGGCGGGGTAGCCCGAGAGGAAGGTGCACATGTGGCAGAGCCCTTCCTTGGATGTCAGGCCCAAGATTTGGGCTTCAGTTCTGAAAGGATCCCTCTGTGTGCTGATCAGCACTCCTCCTGTTGGAGGGGATTCAATTCACCGGTTAAGCTTAAAAGGGAGTTTAACAGCTCATGTAAATGAAAGCTTGGGAGTAGGGTTAGCTCCAGGCCCAGCGGGATCCAGGCTTCCGTGCACCAGCAGGAGCCACTCTGCATCCCTGGGCTCTGTTTCCTCTCTTCTTCGTCCTCGTGCGGGCTCTCTTGTCAAGTGATGGCTGCCTGCCGTTCCAGGCCAGCATTCCACCAGCTAACAATTCAGTGCCACTCGTTCCTGTTGCTACTTCTGTTCCCGGGCTTGAGCAATATTTAGGAAGTAGAATTGACATGATTTGGGGACTGGTTGTAGTGAGGGTGAAGCCAGCATTCCACCAGCTAACAATTCAGTGCCACTCGTTCCTGTTGCTACTTCTGTTCCCGGACTTGAGCAATATTTAGGAAGTAGAATTGACATGATTTGGGGACTGGTTGTAGTGAGGGTGAGGGACCAGGAGGGATCAGCGGGCCTCTGGTGGAGCAGATTGTGGAAAGATAATGAGGTCAGCTTTGTCTGTTTTATGAGGTGCTCAGGGGATGTCCGAGAGGAGAGGCATTCATTCAGTCACTCAACAAATATCTGCCTGGCACCTCCCATGTGCCAGGCAGTATTCTGGGGCTTGAGATACATCCACAAACTAAGGAGACCCTGCCCCATATCTTCTTGTCACTTTCTTGTGGGGCAACAGATAGTAGTCAACGTAACTGCAGTGGTGTGTCAAGGGGGAGTGTTCCATGCAGAAGGGCACCATAGGGTGGGGTGTGGATTGCAGTTTTTTGTTTTTGTTTTTCTTTAAAAGATGACTGGTAAGGGGATCTTAACCCTTGGCTTGGTGTTGTCAGCACCACGCTCTCCCAAGTGAGCCATAGGCCGGCCCTTGGATTGCAGTTTTAAACAGGGTGGTCAGGAAAGGCCTCGCTGAGAAAGTGCTGCTTGAGCAAAGACTTAGAGGAGGTGAAAGAGCAAGCCCTGTGAATATCTGACAAAAGGGCATCCTAAGCAGAGAGGATGGCCTGTGCAAAGGCCCTGGGGCAGGCACAGGCCTGGCATGTTCGAGGAAGCCAGTGTGTCCAGAATGTATGGAGTGACAGGGAGAGAATGGACAGGGCCCTGTGGCCACAATGAGGCCTTTGCTTTAACTCAAAGCAGCCTGGGGGCCACTGCAGAGAAGTGACACAGACTGAGGTCTTCATGAGCTGTTGTGTTGACAGAGTGAAGGGGGTGAGGGTGGAAGCAGGGAGACCCGTCAGGAGGCTGTCGCAGTAAGCAGGTGGAGGTCATGGTGGCTCAGGCCGCGGCAGCAGTGAAGGAGGTGGAAAGTGGTCAGATTCTGGTTGTACTTTGAAGGCGAGCCAGCAGGATTTCCTGATGATCAATGGTGGATGGAAGGGAAAGAGGATTCAAGGCTGACTCCAGGGTTTTTGGCCTAGACAATGGGAAGGATGCAGCTGTCACGAGCTGTGGGTGGAGCAGGTTTCGGGGGAGCTGAGTTCAATTTTGTTGCATTAAGATGCTTATTAGATGTGCAAGTGGGATGTCCATCAGTCCATGGCTGGGTAGGGATGGAGCTCCCACGAGAGGGGGGCCGGGCTGTGGGCTCAGACGTTGTCATGACCCAATGGGTGGTGGTGGAAGCCTGTGGACCCAGCAGGCAGGGTCGGGGAGGCCAGGCAGTGGCTGCACCAGCTGGGGAGATCGGGAAGGCCGTGCCCTTCCTGCAGCATGCTCACGCCAGGACTGCATCTGGAGCACTGTGGCCTCAGGGCTTCCTGAGCTCAGTCCCCAAGTGAGTCTGTGCTTTGGCCCAGGACCTGCAGGAAACAGGCCCGTCAGAGCCCCGACGAGTCATCGACAGCTTTGGGCCTGTGTCTGGGAAATCTCAGAGTCACAGTGTCCACTTTGAATGGAAAAAACAGAGAACCAGAATTGTTTGAAGAAAAAAATCAAATACAAAAATATGCCTCTGTCCCGTCCAAAGGCCAGTTGGGGAAGAGAGTGGGAGGAACAAGTGCAGAGGGAGGAGCCAGGGCAGAGGGGCAGCGAGAGACAGACGGTGACTTCCTTGGCAGGCCCACGTCCTGGCAGAAGGTACAGCCAGGGCCTGGCTTGCTGGGAGGGGGCAGGGCTGCTGACATGTAGCCCTGTTCCCCAGAGGAAGAAGCGGGCTTGGAGGGTTCCCTGGGGGCTTGGAGGACCCCTGGTAACCAAGGCACGGACCCCTGTGATGAGCACCCCTCACCACATCTCCCTAGGCCACAAGGTGTGCCGCCCCCTGGCCACCCGGGCTGTAGCCTCAGCCACAGAGGCAGGGGGCAGGCATTTGCTGTTCGAGGTCCTTTAACCTCCTTGGGCCCTTTGCTCATCTGTGAGATGGGCCATGAGTGCCTGTGCTGCCTGGCGGAGCTGGAACCACGTCAGCTCCCGGCCCCTGCGTGCTCTCTTTTATTCTTTCATTTCTTCATTTATGCACTGCCTTCACCTAAAAAAGATTTTCAGTGACTTGAAATCGGTGTGAAGTAATAGTGTGGGAGGATACAAGCTGCCCTCTGTGAGCGCACACGGTGTGGGGGCTCTGCCGGGGCTTGCCCCACATTCACTCATGAAATCCTCTCTGTGACCCCATGAGGTAGGCACCACTGTTATCCCCACTATACAGATAAGGACATCGAGGCACAGAGAGGTTAAGTGACTTGACCAGACTCACACAGAGCTAGAGGTAATTCTGTGATCCAAAGCCCTGGACTTGACAGGGGCCCTCTGGGCTGTAGCGCCACAAGACCTGCTTCAGACCCTCTGCCCTGCACAGCTGTTGCTCGGGCAGGTTTCTGTGCCTCTCTGAGCCTCGGCCTCTCACCTGTACAGCGGAGAGATGGTAGTGCGCGCCTCATAGGGCCCTGCAGGGGCCTGGTCCATGGATGACATATATTCTGGTTGTCACCCCTACAGGCGCTTTGCCCTTTCCACCAAGATCCCCGACACCAAAGGCTGCCTGCAGTGTCGTGTGGGTAAGAGCAGGGGCTGGGCAGGGCTGGGCACAGGTGCAAGTGCGGGCCCAGCCCAGTGACCACTGCCTATTTCCCTTGCAGTGCGGAACCCTTACACGGGCAGCACCTTCCTGCTGGCTGCCCTGCCCACCAGCCTGCTCCTGCTACAGTGGTACGAGCCGCTGCAGAAGTTCCTGCTGCTGAAGGTGGGGAGGCCCAGGAACCCTCAAGCGGGGGGCAGAGGGCTTGGGGGGAGAAATGGAGACCTGAGCATCCCTGCTGCCTCCCAGAACTTCTCCAGCCCCCTGCCCAGCCTGGCTGGGATGCTGGAGCCGCTGGTGCTGGATGGAAAGGAGCTGCCGCAGGTGTGTGTGGGGGCCGAGGGGCCCGAGGGGCCTGGCTGCCGAGTCCTGTTCCATATCTTGCCCCTGGAGGCTGGCCTGACCCCTGACATCCTCATCCCACCTGGTGAGCAGGAGGGCTGGGCTGCTGAGTATGTGTTGGGGGGTGTGCATCAGAGAGAGAGGGAGGGAGGGAGGGGCCAGGCCCTCAAACTGGGCTCCCAATAGCCTCCAGCTCCATGGAGACCTTGGGGGCCCAAGGGCTACCAAGTGGGGTCTGGAGCTCCCAGCCTCCCTTCAATGAGTTTCAGCTGGGCTTCTGTAAAAGATTCTATTAAACCGAAGGGCTTGGCAGCTAAGAAACAACTGGCCGTCGCTGCTCTGGACCAAGGCAGGGGCTGCAGGGAAGAGCCAAATCTGGCAAGGCAGGCACCGGAGGCCTCCGTTCTGAGCAAGGAAGCAGCACGCTGGTGTTGCGACAGCTCAGGGGCACTAGTGAGTGGCGATGGGTGAAGGTGAGGGAAGGCACACATGGGCTGAGGCCCTCCTGGGTGCCAGACCCAAGCCAGAGTTTTCACACCCAGGATTTCTTTTTTTTTTTTGGTGGGTGGCCGTTGCTGGGATTCAAACCCTTTCTAAGCAACTGAGCTAACCGGCCAGCCCAGGATTTCATTCTTGATCCTCACAATGGCCCTTGAAGGTAGGCATCCTCATGCTTGGGTTATGAATGAGGAAACTGAGGCTCAGAGAAGTACAGTGACTTGTTCCAGGTCACACAGTAACTGGACCAAGAAGCCTGGTTTGCCTGACTCTGGAACTGTCCCATGGCCCCCTGGGACTCCACCCCTGCTCCCTGCGAGCCTGAAGATGGGTCATTTGTCCTCTCTGAGCCTCAGTGCCCTGGCCATGGGGTGATGTTAGGTATCCCAACCCCATGGGACTGTTGCAAGGCTGCAGTGTGCTCGTGGCCAACAGCTGGCTGTAGCATATCCCATGTCCTCTTGGGGCCAGGGTGTCCTGGAGGCTCAGCCAGATGGTGTCTCCCTTCTCTGCCTGCAGAGGGCATCCCGGGCTCGGCCCAGCAGGTGATCCAGGTGGACAGGGACACAGTCTTGGTCAGCTTTGAACGTGAGTGCAGTGCTGGGGGGTAGCGCCATGTGGGGGGCAAGGGGAGCCACCCCGTCACCACCCACCAGCCCTCTCCCTGTGCAGGCTGCGTGAGGATTGTCAACCTGCAGGGTGAGCCCACGGCCACGCTGGCACCTGAGCTGACCTTTGATTTCCCCATTGAGACTGTGGGTGAGTGAGCCAGAGGTGGAGGATGGGGGCCTGGCAGAGGATGAGGAGCCAGATCCCCCAGCCCCTCTCGGAGCCATCCTGGGGTCAGTGAGGTCAGTGAGGACCTCTGTGGCCTAGATCTGGGCCTGGGTGGGGCAGGGGAGGCAGCCCCCTCAGGGCAGGCGCTGGGCTGATGGCAGCCTGGCCCTCCTAGTGTGTCTGCAGGACAGCGTGCTGGCCTTCTGGAGCCATGGGATGCAGGGCCGTAGCCTGGACACCAACGAGGTAAGTGGGCTTCAGGGACCTGGCTGCTCCCACCCTTTTGGAGAGGACTCGCTGGGGTGGCCTCAATGCCCCTTGTCTTCCCAGGTGACCCAGGAGATCACAGACGAGACAAGGATCTTCCGAGTACTTGGGGCCCACAGGTAGGCAGTGGCATCCCAGCCTCCCCTTCATACATCCCTGAAGCCGGAGAAGGGACAGATGTGCTCAAGTGTCTTCCCGCCTTGCTCACTTCCACTTCTCTCTCCCATCCAGAGACATCATACTGGAGAGCATTCCCACGGAGAACCCGGGGGCGCACAGCAACCTCTACATTCTCACGGGCCATCAGAGCAGTTACTGAGCACTGGGCCTGGCCAGTGGCAGCCCCCACCCGCCTGCATGCCTTAGCAGAAGGGGCCCTTCCAGATCAGAGGGGACCAGGCTCCAGTTCTGCTGGGCAGAAGGGCAGAAATGATCCTGAGAAGTGTTTTGGGGCTGGGGAGGGGAGGGGAGCCCACCCCCACCTCTGCAATAACTGGACCACAGGAAGCTGCTGTCACCTCCCCCTCCCCTGGGGACAGCACAGTCCCTAGTGCCCCGTGGCAGGGGGCCCTGGGCAGGATGTGGGTGGCCACAGCTGATCCATTCCATTTTGTTCCATGTTTTTTTCCACCCGTTCTGCCAGGAGCCCACCCCTGCACTCCCTAGTGTGTCTGCAGGACAGCGTGCTGGCCTTCTGGAGCCATGGGATGCAGGGCCGTAGCCTGGACACCAACGAGGTAAGTGGGCTTCAGGGACCTGGCTGCTCCCACCCTTTTGGAGAGGACTCGCTGGGGTGGCCTCAATGCCCCTTGTCTTCCCAGGTGACCCAGGAGATCACAGACGAGACAAGGATCTTCCGAGTACTTGGGGCCCACAGGTAGGCAGTGGCATCCCAGCCTCCCCTTCATACATCCCTGAAGCCGGAGAAGGGACAGATGTGCTCAAGTGTCTTCCCGCCTTGCTCACTTCCACTTCTCTCTCCCATCCAGAGACATCATACTGGAGAGCATTCCCACGGAGAACCCGGGGGCGCACAGCAACCTCTACATTCTCACGGGCCATCAGAGCAGTTACTGAGCACTGGGCCTGGCCAGTGGCAGCCCCCACCCGCCTGCATGCCTTAGCAGAAGGGGCCCTTCCAGATCAGAGGGGACCAGGCTCCAGTTCTGCTGGGCAGAAGGGCAGAAATGATCCTGAGAAGTGTTTTGGGGCTGGGGAGGGGAGGGGAGCCCACCCCCACCTCTGCAATAACTGGACCACAGGAAGCTGCTGTCACCTCCCCCTCCCCTGGGGACAGCACAGTCCCTAGTGCCCCGTGGCAGGGGGCCCTGGACAGGATGTGGGTGGCCACAGCTGATCCATTCCATTTTGTTCCATGTTTTTTTCCACCCGTTCTGCCAGGAGCCCACCCCTGCACTTTGTCCTGGAGAACATGGTATTTAAAAGAGAGAACTATATTGGTATTAAAGCTGGTTTGTTTTACTCCACTGGTCCCTTTGGGTGGGGGTAGCTGAGCCCACTGCCTCATCTCCCTCCTTCCCTCCCTTTTTGTGGGCCCCATGGAAGGGTGGGGCTGCTTATGTTTTGGGGGAAGCCAGGCAGAAGTGACGGGAGGCTGGTGGCCCCCAGCAACCATCTCAGTTCTACTTTGTCTTTTTGGGCTCCCCTGCCGAGAACTAGCCCTCAGCTTTGCGGTTCGTGACTGCATTGTAGTTTGGCACCCCAAAGACTCATGCAGATGAGGGGGGCCTGAACAGAGAGACTCTCATCTGGGACATCCCTGCCCCATGTGGGATCTCACTGGGTGGAAGGGACCAGGAGGGGCCAGTCGATTAGGCTGTTCCGTTCCCAGGGAGGCTGATGCCTATGGAGATGATAGCTACCATGACCTGCGCCCCATCCAGGCCTGGGGCTGCTTCCCAGACTCTCACCGACTGCCAAGGTAGCAGTATCCCTGGTCATGCCCAGAACAACGGAATACAGCTGGTCATCAGGTTAGACTGCAGGTTAGTCTTTGGGAAGATTAGACTGGGTCCACTTAACAAACACTCCCAGAGGGCCTCCTTGGTGCCAGGTCCTGGGGTTGCTACCAAGATATGGGCCAGCTCCTGGGGAGGGGCCGTTCCCCTTGCTGGATCCTGCATCCCAGGGCACATCTGTCCTCCTGAGACTGACCTTGTGCTTTCCGTTGCTGTCCTCACATGTCCCCTGCTGCCCCAGGTACTGGCAGGCTGCTGTTGACCAGAGCCTTTGGGCAGGTGAGGCCAAGGAAGCAGGCTGAGAGCTGGCCTTGAAGGAGGGCTGGGTCTGCAGGCAAGCCCAGGCCTGCAGAGGGCAGGAAGATCTGAGGGAAAAGCTTGAGCAAAGGCCCAGGGATCAGGTCAAGTTTGGCCCCGTTACCACCCTTCCAACATCCAAAGCTAGTGTTTGAACAAGAGCTTCTCTCCACCTGCTGGGCCGTCGGCAAACACTTGCTAAATGAATGAAGAGTGAGTGGATGGGTGGTGGGTAGACGGCAGCTCATGTGAGTAGACTCAGTGGCACCCACGAGTATCACACTGTCCCCCTGTCCACCCTCCAGCAGAGACCTGGCTGCTCTGACTCTTCCCAGTGACCAGGAAGGTTTCTTGGCTGAAATGGGAAGCCAGACCAGGGGAGGGGCTGCACCTCTTGTGTACCAGGCATTCACACCCATGTTCCCCTGGAGACCCAAAGGAAAGCAAGAGGAAACTTCCAAATTCTGAAGGTGTGTGCCTGCCTGGAGGGCATCTGATGGGCCACATCGGGGGAGTGACAGGATATAAAGTGAATTCCTAACCTTGGGTTTTCCAGATTTCTTGGGGGTATGTTGGGGGTGCAGGCAGGGTGGTGAGCGCCCACTCAGCAGAGGCCCCTGATCCCAGGCACTCTGGGAGGGCTGGCCTCCTCCCACAGAGCAGCAGGCAGCAGACAGCGCCACCTTGTGGCAGCCTGCCCCAGCCCCCAGATTCTGTCCCAAAAAGGGGCTTAGGTGTGTCAGTGTGATGTGCCAAAGTGGGGCGCCTGTGAAAAGCAAGGGCCTCTGATAAAATGTTTGCTGCCAGCAAAAGCAGGCCACAAGCCAAAGAAAGGCCAAAACGCCAGGGAATGTGCACAGAAAGGCCAAAACTTTAAATTGTATTTATGTATTTTTTAATAGGTAGCTCTTGCCCATGGTATATAATTTTACTAAATACAAAAGAGATATAATTAAAGTCTTCCTCTTACCTGGTCCCCCAGCCACCTAGGTCTCAGTTACTTATGAACCCTTCTAGAAGTATTTATGCATATTTAAGCAATTTGGTATATTTTATTCCCCCCCCCCTTTTTTTTTTTCTTTTTTGTCTTTTTTCGTGACCGGCAACGGGATCGCAACCCTCGGTGTCGCACCCGCACCGCGCTCAACCAGTGAGCGGACCGGTCTCTATATGGGATCCGAACCCTCCGCGGGAGCGCCGCCATGCTCCCAAGCGCCACACTCTACCGAGTGCGCCACTGGGCCGGCCCCCCTTTTTTATACACGTGGTAACGCATTCCACATATTGTCTTCACCTTGTCCTTTTAAAATATATCGTGGAGATCTTTCCATGATCAATGTTCTCCTTTATTTTTTATAGTTAGTGGTATTACACTTTATGCATTTTCCATAACTAACGTTAATGAACTGTAATTAGATCCCTACTGACAGAAGTTTAAGTTGTTTCTATGACTTTGATATTACAGACAACACTGCAATACATATTCTTATACCAGTGCCACTATGTATATATTCAAGTGTTTCTATAGGATAAATTCCTGGAACTAGTATTGCTGGGTCACAGGTGGCAGCATTTGTCATGGTGATGTCAAATTGTCCTCCATGGATGGAAACGTATGGGATGGGTCAGACCAGCCTCTTTAAGCCATTCTTCCAGATAAGTAGAAGAGACAGGTACCCCAGGATGTTCGGAGTCCTTCTGGCAGTGATGTTCAAGGGAGAGCCATTACGTGCGCTTCAGGATGGCAGGGGACTTGCCATGTTCCCTGTAGCATGTCCAGCACCTGCTCGCTGCCTGGTGCACAGGAGGCACTCATTCCCAAAGGAATGAACGTGATGTGTACAGGAGGCCCTGGAGTGTGGCCCCTTGACTGGGGGAATCACCAATCTTGCAGATCTTTACTTTTCCCAGGTATACCACATCTCAGCCCACTGCAGGGCTGTTGAGAGGACTGAAAATGCTGTAGTATACATAATGTAAGAACAGATGAATCTTAGAGATAAATTAAAACGGTAAATTGCATAAAACTACACACAGTATGATGGAATTTTATAAAGCTTAAAAACAAGCAAAGCTAAATCATTTGGCAGTACATGTACATGTGTTAAAATTCTGTTAAAAATCAAGGGAAGGGGGCTGGCTGGTTAGCTCAATTGGTTAGCTCAGTGTGGTGTTGATAACACGAAGGACAAGGGTCCAGATCCTTGTACTGGCCAGCTGCCAAAAAAAGGGGAGGGGGGAGGAAAAGTACAAAATTCAAGATGGTGGCCCCTCTGAGGGGCATGGGGGATGGGATAAGGAAGGACCCCAGAAATTTGTAAAGGTATTGATGATTTCTTGGTCAATTTATGACTCAGTTCCCAACTCACATAAGGGGCTACACATCTTTTTTTTTTTTTTTTTTTTTTTAAGGATGACCGGTAAGGGGATCTTAACCCTTGACTTGGTGTTGTCAGCACCACGCTCAGGCAGTGAGCGAACTGGCCATCCCTATGTGGGATCCGAACCCGGGGCCTTGGTGTTATTAGCACCGCACTCTACCGAGTGAGTTTTTTTTTTTTTTTTTTTTTTTTTTTGGTGGCTGCCCTGCTAGGGGATCTGAACCCTTGACCTTGGTGTTACCAGCACCCCACTAACCAACTGAGCTAACCAGCCAGCCCTAATTTTAAATATTGAAGAGTAATCACTCAAACAATAAAACTCTATAATGGATTGAAGACAAAAACTAGGACAATTGTTTCCTTGATGACAAAGCCAAGTGGAGAGGAATGGTGTGACACCAGTGTTCTGCACAGAACTTGGGCAGAGCCCTCGCCCTGCGGTTGCTGTCTTCTATTTTTATTTAAAACAGCTTTATTGAGGTATAATTGGCATACAATAAGCTGCATATATTAAAAATGTACTATCTGATGACTTTTTTTTTTAAGACCAGTAAGGGGATCTTAACCCTTGACTTGGTGTTGTCAGCACCACGCTCAGCCAGTGAGTGAACCGGCCATCCCTATATAGGATCTGAACCCGTGGCCTTGGTGTTATCAGCACCACAATCTCCTGAGTAAGCCACGGGCTGGTCCTTATCTATCTGATGACTTTTGACATACATATAAATCCATGAAACCATTATCACAGTAAAGATAATGAACATTGCCACCACTTCCAGAAGTTTCTTTGTACCCCTTGGTAATCCCTCGCTCCTTGCCTCCCATCCCCAAGTAACCACAGATCTCCTGTCACTATAGATTTTCGTTTGCTAGAATTTACAGTCATGCAGTATGTATTTTAGACTGGCTTCTTTCACTAAACATAATTATTCTGAGATTCTTCCATGATGTTGCATGTATTAATAGTTCATTCCTTTTCACTGTGAAGTAGCATTTCATTGTATGGATGTATCTCAGTTTGTTTAGCTAGTCACCTGTTGATGGACATTTTGCCTGTTTCCAGTTTTGAACTATTACAAATAAAGCTGCTATGAAAATTCATGTACATGTCATTGTTGGATATTTACTTTCATTTCTCTTAGGTAAATTACTTTGTAGTGGAATGGCTGAGTCACATGGTACATGTTGTGTATCACTTTCAGCCTGTGTGTCCTTAAAGCTAAAGTGAGTTTTTTCTAGGCAATATACAAGTGGGTATTATATTTATTTTATTTTATTTTATTGAAGAGATGACTGGTAAGGGGATCTTAACCCTTGACTTGGTGTTGTCAGCACCACGCTCCCCCAAGTGAGCCAACCGGCCATCCCTATATGGGATCCGAACCCGTGGCCTTGGTGTTATCAGCACCACACTCTCCCAAGTGAGACACGGGCCAGCCCTTGAAACTGGGTAATTTATAAGAAAATGTATTTTATTTCTTACAGTTTCAGAGGCTGGGAAGTCCGAGGTCCATAGGACCTTCTTCTTGGTGGGAAATGCAGAGGCCTGTGGCAAGGCAGGGTATCACAAGGCGAGAGTGGCAAGAGCACTTACGTGTGCTCTCCTTATAAAGCCACCAGTCCACATCCATGAGGACTCATTATTCCATAAATGGATCAATCCATTCACAAGAGCATAGTCCTCATGATCCAGTCACCTCTTAAAGGCCCCACCTTTCAAATACCATAATTGGATTTCCCAGCCCCTTAACACTGTTACAGTGGGGATCGAGTTTCCAACACATGAACTTTTGAAGGACACACTCAAACTATAGCATGTTGATGGAGTTTGGATGTGTCGTCCCCTCCAAAACTCATGTGGAAATTTGATCCCCAATGTGGCAGTGTTGGAAACTGAGTCATGGGGGCAGATCTCTCATGAATGGATTAATGCTCTCCCTGGGGGAGGGGGTATTAATGAGTGAATTCTCGCTCTATTAGTTACAGTGAGAGCTGGTTGTTTAAAAGACCCTGGCACCTCCTCTCTCTGTCTCTTGCTTCCTCTTGCCATGTGACCTGCCTGTACCTGCCGGCTGCTGCCACTTTCCACCATGAGTAGAAGCAGCCTGAGGCCTGTGCCAGATGCAGC